TACCAGTATAATTCCGACCTCGCTCCCACGCGTACTCAGCTTCAGGGGATGTCTATGGGTACAGGCGAAGGCTTCAAAGAGTATGCTCAAAAATGGAGGGACCTTGCTGGAAGGGTACAACCACCTCTGACTGACCGCGAGCTCGTCGACATGTTCTTGGGGACCCTGTCTGGTCCATTCTTCAACCACCTAATTGGGAATTCTGCTGCTGGGTTTACAGATCTTGTCTTGACTGGGGAAAGAATCGAAGCTGGTATCAATCGGGGAAGATTCAAGAAACCGCACCTGCTGATGCTCAGAAAAAGCCCCACAGTGGGAAGAAGGAGTCCAATGCTATACATGGTAAAAAGGGTCGTCATGATGTAGGGGCAATCCAGATTTCTGATCCCACGCCCGTTCAACCAAGAAAGAGCAATAGGCGTAGGATAAAGCATCAAGATAGGAAGTATACTGACATCAACATGTCTTTGTCTCAGGCATTATAGCAATTGCTGAGGGCAAAACTGATCACACTAAAGGATCCTCCTCAAAATCCTGACACTTCCTCTTCCAAGTACAACCCGGGTGTAAGATGTGCCTACCATTCTGACAGTCCTGGACATGACACCGACGACTGTTGGACCTTGAAGAACAAGATCCAGGATTTGATTGACGCCAAGGAGGTCGAGTTTGAACACTGATCCTACACCGAATCATCGAGAATGTCTTTTGTTCATTCAAATATTCAAGTTGTATTTTTCGTTGATTGTTCGAACATTTATTCATGTTAAACATTGTTATCACATTAATGCATCGCTTATGTCTATTTTGAATCAATATATTCGCATTCACTATATGCAAACTGTTTTCATATTTTTCTGATGTCAACTCTCAATTAATAATTCTAAGCCTCTTGAGGGAGGATGACGAAAACGATACCTAATCTACAGTATGCTTTTGAACAGACCCCGCTGATGAGGTACAGGCATTGTTTCAATTCCTAAACACTGGAGTTATAAGGATGATAATCCCTCGTCAACCCCTCTGAGCCAAAGAAGTAGGAGTTTTTCTTTTCGAAGTTTAAAACCCTTAATCATAACCTGGGGCAGGGTAGTCTCTCAGTTGATCCAAGTGCATAACGAATGGCACCAAAGAGATCTTTACAAAACGAACAAAGACAGTGATGGTTCAGAACAATCAAAAGGACAGGCAGTCATTATCAAAAAAAAAATCATAAACGAAAAGCCCAAGAAGTCAAAACCTGTAAAAGGGACTTATGAAACTGGGGCATCCCGCTGACTGTAATTCCAAAAAAGGAAACAGTTCAGGCAAAAAGAAAGGGATAACAAAAATCAAGAAAGAGGTCTCACAAACCCTCAACCAAAGCAAAAAATGACTGCCTATTCAAAACAAGTTATCAATATCCGAATCATCACCGGAAAATCAGAGCAAAGACTCAAACAAGGTCTAACGTATGATCAACTGAGTTTAGGTTTGGAGAACATTACGAAGAGCGGGTGGGTACAAATAAAATTTGAGCCTTTATCCTTTGTTTCTTAAACCGTGAACCAAGCCACGTTATAACCCTTAAAAGTCCTAGCTGAAGCATGGGTTAGTTCGAAAGCATACTGTTACGAAAGGTATCCTGACTCCTGAAGGCCTACGGTAAATACGAGTTGACATCACGTTTTACAAACATCCACATGTTTTATGGAAAAAATGCATTTTTCAAAATCTTCAAGACAGACATGAGCTTTGCATTTTTAACATGACTTTGTTTGCATATGACTTTTTGTTTGAACAGCATAGAAATTCGCACGACGAATGCCTAATGAACAGAAGTACCTCCGATCAAGGGGCAGACATGACCATGGTCCATTATCTGGGGCAATCCAATCAAGATTTGGAGAATCTCTCAAAGGCCAAATAGCCTGGGGCAAATCTCCGCTTGAGTCACTTGGGGCATTCCAACAACAAATCTCGCCTAATCAAACATCTTCTGGTGGCATGACAAAACACTTCAAACAGGGGCAACTCCCTACTTTCTAAGCACGGACATAGTCGAAAAATACTACGCAAAATCAAAGACCCGCTAGGTTGACATACCTAGGCAAAAATAAGGGCTTCCCGGCGAACCAAAAGGGTTCGGGCAAAAATCAGGGATGAAAATGAAAAAATCTGTACACCCGGCAAGTCGAAAACCTGAAAAGGTGACTTGGGCAAAAATGGGTATCCCGGTGGACTGAAAACCCGAAAGGGCGGTCCAGGCAAAAGTTAGGGATCAAAAGCGTACGACTATGTCCCGGCATCTCGTCACCTGCCTACCAGAAGAAGGTTTGTCCGTCAACAACTATCAGCACCCCACAAATGCCTCCCTCATAGAAACAGGGGCAATAAAGAATGGTCTAAGCAATCTGATTGTTCTATCCTCCAAGGTATCAGGGTAGGTTCCGTTGAAGAACATGACCGATACAGTTCAATACTTCCCCAGGAAAGTTGGGATTCATATCCCCAAGCCATAAGCATATCCCCAGTAAATTTTGGAAGCTTGTCCCCTCGCAGAACACGAACACGTCGTCCGGCTTGATTTAAAGAGTTATTTCCTTAACATGATATAACTGGGTTATCCTCAGCCAAAAGCCACGGAAAGAGCGTCCTCGACGAAGTCTTCTCACCCCAGCAAAGTCTATCAATACTTCCAGTATGACAAGGGTATCCCCAGCAAATTATCATCAACACTCAGCAAGGCATCCCTCTTCCCACAGAGTATTGCTTCCCAACATGGTCGCGAGGGTATCTTTTCTCCCCACAGAATCTTCCCTTTGCCAAGTTTATTCCGCAACGGAGTCATCTTCTCCTACCGGTATTCTTGCAGCTATTATCCCCAGCGGAAGCAAAAGCTATTCTTCAAACATCAGCCCAGGATACGACTTCCCGGCGCCCGTCAAGGATTTACTTTCCTAAACGGAAAACACATTCATGAAACGTCACATACATCATTATAGCATGCATAGACGCATCATATCACCCCAATCTCATTTCTTTTTGAGTACATCTTAAAATCAGGCAATTCATGCATTATGACATTGCATACAACTAATTCGTTACTTTTTCAGGAAAGAACGATCAACAGATAAAAGTCTTTACCCGTTGAGGTAGTAATCGTCCCAGATTCCTTCATCATCCTGCAGAGGTAGTAATCGTCCCAGATTCCTTCATCATTCTGCTGAGGTAGTAATCGTCCCAGATTCCTTCATCATCCTGCTGAGGTAGTAATCGTCCCGGATTCCTTCATCATCCTGCTGAGGTAGTAATCGTCCCGGATTCCTTCATCATCCTGCTGAGGTAGTAATCGTTCCAGATTCCTTCATCATCCCGTTGAGGTAGTAATCGTCCCAGATTCCTTCATCATCCTGCTGAGGTAGTAACCGTTCCAGATTCCTTCATCATCCCGTTGAGGTAGTAATCGTCCCAGATTCCTTCATCATCCTGCAGAGGTAGTAATCGTCCCAGATTCCTTCATCATTCTGCTGAGGTAGTAATCGTCCCAGATTCCTTCATCATCCTGCTGAGGTAGTAATCTTCCCGGATTCCTTCATCATCCTGCTGAGGTAGTAATCGTCCCGGATTCCTTCATCATCCTGCTGAGGTAGTAATCGTTCCAGATTCCTTCATCATCCCGTTGAGGTAGTAATCGTCCCAGATTCCTTCATCATCCAGCTGAGGTAGTAATCGTTCCAGATTCCTTCATCATCCCGTTGAGGTAGTAATCGTCCCAGATTCCTTCATCATCCTGCTGAGGTAGTAATCGTCCCAGATTCCTTCATCATCCTGCTGAGGTAGTAATCGTCCCGGATTCCTTCATCATCCCGCTGAGGTAGTAATCATCCCGGATTCCTTCATCATCCCGTTGAGGTAGTAATCGTCCCGGATTCCTTCATCATCCTGCTGAGGTAGTAATCGTCCCAGATTCCTTCATCATAGATTTGGAGTAGCAATCGTCTCAGATTCCTTCATCACATCCTTATAAAAAAAAAAAAAAAACCTCCTCTAGTCCAGTTAAATCGACTCCCAACAGATTTTTCTGATAAAAACTCAGCAGAAGTTATGGTTCCCTCTCCGACGGTGTGTGAGGTGGTAAGTCCTTTTCAGATGTTTCCCTCTCCGACGATGAGTGTGAGGTGATAGTCTCTTATGGTCCCCTCTCCGACAAGTGCGTGAGGTGGTAATCCCTTCTTCAGATGTTTCCCTCTCCGACGATGAGTGTGAGGTGATAGTCTCTTATGGTCCCCTCTCCGACAAGTGCGTGAGGTGGTAATTCCTTCTTCAGATGTTTCCCTCTCCGACGATGAGTGTGAGGTGATAGTCTCTTATGGTCCCCTCTCTGACAAGTGTGTGAGGTGGTAATTCCTTCTCCTTATGGTCCCCTCTCCGACAAGTGCGTGAGGTGGTAATTCCTTCTTCAGATGTTTCCCTCTCCGACGATGAGTGTGAGGTGATAGTCTCTTATGGTCCCCTCTCCGACAAGTGCGTGAGGTGGTAATTCCTTCTCCTTATGGTCCCCTCTCCGACAAGTGCGTGAGGTGGTAATTCCTTCTTCAGATGTTTCCCTCTCCGACGATGAGTGTGAGGTGATAGTCTCTTATGGTCCCCTCTCCGACAAGTGCGTGAGGTGGTAATCCCTTCTTCAGATGTTTCCCCCTCCGACGATGAGTGTGAGGTGATAGTCTCCTATGGTCCCCTCTCCGGCAAGTGCGTGAGGTGGTAATTCCTTTTTCAGATGTTTCCCTCTCCGACGATGAGTGTGAGGTGATAGTCTCTTATGGTTCCCTCTCCGACGGTGTGTGAGGTGACAATTCCTTTTCCTATGATTCCCCTCTCCGACGGCGAGTGAGGTGATTCCCCTTCAGATTATAATTGCTTATGGCTCTCTTCCCGATATTGCAAAGATGGTAATTCCCGCCAAGATTTTTCTCAACGAACGTTGTTGAAGTTAAAATCACCCAAGGTTCTCTTACCATTCATGCTAAGGCAGTAACCATCTCTGGTTCATTCATCAGCGTTTGAAACTCCAGATTCAGCTCCTGTAACCAGTCAGGACACATCTATACCAAGCATCTAAAATCAGCTCCTGCAACGTGTCAGGTACTCATTTTTTCTTTTGCAGGTATGTAGGTTCTAACTAAGGAATCTCCCACGTGATCAACATCCAGATGGCATCTATAAGCCCATCACCCTATCCAGCAATCTCTAAATGGCATCTATAAGCCCATTCCCCCATCACTGTTACTATGTGAGCGCAAATTTCTGGGCACTCTAGTGTCCAATCATCTTCTACCCTCGGATTACGAAAGGCACGCCAGCCAATCTGCATCCTCAGGTCTAAGAAGATTGAACAGGGGCAACTGTTGCACCCCAAAATTTGCCCTCCCATATTCTCCAAGAAATTGCCAAGTCAGGTCACAAAATTCCCCAAGGGTTGCCCAGTGCAACTGTCTCCTATACAGTCAAAACTAGGGTTTGAGTTCTGATCAAGAAAATGAAGTTTTCAAAGGCCCAATCAAGTCTCATATGCCTACAAATGTGGTCAAGCATCCTCATATCAAGTTTTAAGGCATTCAGCTCAAAATTGCACAGTCAAAACCCTAAATTGCACTACAGTCAACTGTAGGGGCAAAATGGTCATTTGACAGTCAAAAGTTCAAATTTTTGGTCAACATATCATTTTGAAGCCACAAACATCATTTGATCAATTCTTGATCATGATTCTCAAAATTTGGCTCAGAAAATCATCAAGATGCAAAAGTTACTATATTTGGACAGCTGAAAAAGTCAACTGAAATTGACCAGGGCATAACTTTCACATGGATTATCAGAAAAATTCCATCCAAAGCTCATTTTGAAGAGAAAGACATTTCCTACAATTCATCTTCACATTCCAAGTCCAAGAAATGCTCTCACAAAAAGTTATCAATTTCAACATTATAGGTCATTTTCAAAAGTCAACAAAAAGGGACTTTAAGTCAAAGGCCATAACTTGAGATTGGTAAATCAAAATGACATGGGACTAAAGGCATTGGTTAAAGGACTCAAAGACCTTTCCAAAATGTCCAAGAACATGTGAAAAGCTTAAAAATTGAGCAAGTTATGCCTTGTGGAAGTTGGGAAATTTTTGGGAATTTTGAAAAGTCAACTTTAATTCAAATGACCTAAATTTGCTAATGGGCCCATTTTTCTTCCATGATTCATCATTCCAAGCCTATGCACGACCACTTGGCCCAAAGGGAAGTATTTTCTCATTTTTTATTTATTTATTTGAATTTTTATTCATATTAATTCAATTAAATCAATTAAATATATGGAAAATATCTAAATGAACCAAATGAATCTTTTCATACATGTTTTAGACTTGATATTTCGTGCTTAGCCAATTATGGAAAGATTTGGAGCTGATTGGCATGATTGAACAAAAATGCACATGAAAAAGATTCAAAAAGATCTTGGAAAATCAATTATCAAAAATCATTATGGCCATGGATTTTATTCAATTTTCTTGACCTAAAAGCTTCACTACATATGCCTGAATCAAACCCTAATCCTTAGACACCAAAAGCTGCGCTCAAGAACAGGTTACAAACTTGAAATTCCATAAAAACTCAATTCTGAAAAGCATTCTAGAGGACGATTCAAGCCCTAATCTTGATCCCAATAGCTTCATTGTGGTTCTCTGAACGTGTGCCAATCACAAACAACAACAAAAGCTCCAAGAATTGGTAGATTGAACCTCAACTGTGTCCAAAAATTTCTGGGATCGTGCATCATAATTTATGCATATTTTGTCATTTTGATTGATTGATTCATGTTTGTTATAAGTCTCTGATGCTAACCATGCAGTTTGATTGCGTTTTTATGCTCTATACGTGATATTGCCATGAATGCATTCTAGGGTTTCTTGAGCTCTCAATTGGGGATTCTCTTATCCTGTAAAATTGAAACACGATAATGCCATGATCATGACCAGGAAGCTTGGACGAAGGAGATGCAATGCTCGCGCCAAATTTCTGAACTAAGGCGTGCTAATCGCTATTTTTAAAACAAGCGTATATTGAGGGGGTTCAAAACCCCCGTTAAATGTTTACTAAATTCGTTTCAGGAAAACACAAGGAAGAAGATGATCTCGTGGCGTGGTTGGATTGGTTCCTTTTTGAATTTCGCGCGTGATAGCTCCCACTAACGCTTATTTCTTTATTATATTTGTTTGTCATCATATATTAATAATGCGCAATTGGCACAGACGGCAAGCGAACGTGATGGCAATACACAAGACCTGGGTTCGAACCCCAGGTCTCACATATGTCCATGCTATTTTTCTATAAGTCTTCCTATGCAGGCGCAATATTGGTGCACACCGTGTGCCATCCTAATCCAAGCGTCCACGCGTCCTACCAATCCAGATCAAAGGCGTGGATGCAAAGAACATGCTATACCCAGGTCAACGCGTTAGCACACAAACTGGAAAAGTCAAGTGGACTCAGGGTTTTGGGCCAGCATGTTAAGGCCTACACCTCCATATTGGGGACCTCCACCCCCCCTGGTTTGCAAGTTTTATTTATGTTTCTTATATATTTTTAATTATTATTTTGCTTGTTTTGTTGTTTTAATTTAATTATTATTTTTACAAAATATAAAAAACATCATGAAATCAGAAAAATCAAAAAATATGATATTTAGTTATTTAATTACTTTCATAAATAAATTAACATGTAAATATTTAATTCTAATTAGGATAATTTCAATTTCTTTTAAATAACAAAAATACAAAAAATATGTAGAATTAGTTTAATTAACAATTTCCATTCCTTTTAATTTTTCCTTTTATCATAATATTATTATTTATTTATTTTCATAATTAAATTATATATAAATAATTTAGGTTTAAATTAGATCAAAAAAACTTAATATTTTTCTTAATAACTTAAAAATAATTAGAATTAGGTTTAACATTTCATTTTAATTTTAATTAATTCTTTTTTTTCCATTAAATCTTAAAAACACAAAAATACCAAAAAAAACATTCTTATTGTAATTTTAAACTTTAAATATTGTTGCAAAAGGGTCCAACGCCCTAGTCTTGTTTTTAATTATTTAATTGCGCATATTTACCTTATTTCGCTTAATTCATTATGTATCTCTCCCAAAGCCGTGTAAACAATTGCTCGCACTTTTATTTTATTTATTTTCCGTCAAATCGGGTCCGGTTTAATTTTGGCGATGTGGACCCGCGCCATTTGTAATAGCCTTAGATTTACTTTCCCGCAAATATCTTAACTGTTAACAAAAGCATGAAAGAATGTATGGACCTAATTAAAATCAAGCGTAGATCACAACAAACATGACAAGACAAATATCAATGAAAACGACACACGAATCGCACACACCACCCCTAGGGTACGCCTCACTGTTGCCTTGCCTCGAAAGGTGATCGTCGAGTAGAGGATGTCTTAGTAAGTCCTCATGATCCGGGAACCTGGCATGAGGGTAGCTTCTAAGGTGTCTTCCCATTGCTCTGGTGATCACCATGTCCCTAAACTCGAATTGACCCGAACACCTCCAACGGTGGTGCTATCTACCTCTCAATGGTGGGATGGCACTACTTTAAAGGACTTTTACACAGACGAATTCCTTAGGGTAGGTAGGTTCTCAAGGATACTTGCTCTAATTTCAAAACAAACTGAAGACTTTTCACACCAACACATTTTCAAAAGCTTTCAAAGCAAAATTTTCAAACACGCTGACGTACGAGTCGAACTGAAATTTTTCAAAGAAACTTTTTTAAACCCACAATTGAAAAGCAAACAAACCATTTTGAAAACACAATGAGCAAGTATCTAAGAGCCCATGGATAACCATGGATAGAAAGGGTGCTAACACCTTCCCTTTCTATAACCTACCTCCCGAACCGAGAGCAATCTCTTTAAGGAATTTTTCTGTGCTTTTGTCCTTTCCATTTGGAGAAAATAAAAGACGGTGGCGACTCTTGCTTCCGCGACATTTCGCGAACCAGCGTTAAACAGTCAGTTCCAGATCCACCGATCACACACGCCATAGTCCACATGTACCATTTAATCGGTTCATCTCTAGCAAATTCCAAGTCCTTTAACAAACCTAAGTCTTTCCACCACCTACATAGTATATACCATGATTAAGTCAATGTTGTACTCATTAATCTTTATTAGTGTAATTTTTTCAAAGTTAAATAGGACTCACTTGGAAACTGCAAAAATTTCCTTGAGATGTAGAGAGGAAACCATTTGAGTGTCAATTTTGGAAAGTCGTTGTAAAGAATTTGTCCATGTTACATTTTGTGATTGAATTATTGTTTGTGTGAATCTTGACAAAGTTTTATGAATAGGACACATCAATGTTTGTGCAATAAAATTCACTTGAGCATGGTCATGAAACGTCGAAGACCACTCATTAAGATACTCGCGGCAGAACTGTCCTGCACTTTCAAGATAATCTTCTCCTTCTATGCTTAATTGAGAGGCTTCAAACAATGCAATTAAACCGTTTATATCCTTATAAAATGTATCCTTGAGTTTGCCTCTGTTGTCCCAGAAAATATCAAATATATCTGTAAAATGCATCAAAATAGTTATAACCACGATAAATTAATTAGACACATAACTGCGACTTTCCGGATTCCAACTTTAGACAGGATTATTAGAGGGTAATTTAATATTTTGTTATTTGTAGATAAGTTTTGATTAAGGGCCTATGTGGCATTCTTATTTGTGTATAAATAGGTGTACTAGGTTTACATTTATAACAATCAATTCTTCAATTATTTGCTGTCAGCTTTTAGGCATTTATTCCTTCATTCTTCTTCCTCAAATTCATCACCTTGCACTAACAAATTGGTATCTAGAGCTTCTTGGTTGTTCTGAAATTCTGGGAAACACGAGTGATAGTGAGCTGTGTGTTTGATTTTTGAATCTTGAACAAAAATCTGAAACAGAACCACACTGATTCTGTGGGTTTGGGAAACACTGAGTGAGAAATCTGAGATCTGAGTTTTTCTGTGCAAAGGTTTAAGATGAATGGAGGCAGTAGTTTGAACACTAAACTTCCAGTTTTGATGGCAAAAACTGGAACAGATGGAAGATACAAATGCGTGTGTTGTTTGGTGCTCAGGATGTTCTGGACCTTGTCTCTGAAGGTTATGTTCCAACTGCAGCAAATGCTACTGAAGAACAAAAATCAGAAGAAAGAGCTACAAGGAAGAGGGATCAGAAAGCATTGTTCTTCATCCATCAGTGTGTGGATGAAAATGTGTTTGAAAAGATTGTTGATTCGACGACGTCGAAAGGGGCATGGGATATACTGACCAGATGTTATGGTGGTGATGTATCAGTAAAGAAGGTAAAACTTCAGTCCCTGCGAAAACAATATGAAAATCTCAGCATGAAGAACAGTGAGAAAGTTTCTGAATACATCTCCAGATTGATTCTGATCACTAATGAAATGAAGGCTTGTGGAGAAACACTTTCTGAACAGGTAATCATAGAAAAGATTCTGAGGTCACTTACGCCTCAGTTTAATTACATTATTGTTTCTATTGAACATTCTAAAAATCTGGAAACCATGAGAATAGAAGAGTTGCAAAGCAGTCTAGAAGCACAAGAGTTGCGTCTGACTGAAAGAACTTCTGAGAGGGAAGTGGAGCAAGCTCTGAAAGCTTCTTTTGTCAAGAAGGACCAGAAGCAGAATAGACATGGTGATAAATTCCAGAAGTCAGAAACCTCAACCTCTGATGAAAAGAAATATCAGAAGGGAAAGGAAAGGTATGACAAGAAGAAGGTTCAATGTTACTGTTGTAAACAGTTTGGGCATTTTGCCAGAGACTGTAGAAACAGAGGAAGGAAATCAGAAGAAGCAAATATAGCCAGAGAAGATTCTGATGATGAACTTGTGCTATTGATGGCTTCTGATTCTGATGGAAACTGTTCAGGAGATTGGTGGTATATGGACACTGGCTGTTTAAACCACTTGACTGGGAACAAACAATGGTTGACAGACTTTGACTCCAGAAGGAGAACAAAGATCAGATGTGCTGATGATAAGTACCTTAATGCAGAAGGTATGGGAAATGTCAAGGTCAGAGTGAAGAATGGAAGAAACATTCTGATCAAAGATGTCTGGTACGTTCTTGGAATTAAAAGCAATCTGATGAGTGTGGGTCAGCTTATTGAGAAAGGTTTTTCAGTGGTTATGAAGGACAACCTCTTGACGTTGTATGATTCTAATCAGAAGCTGATTATGAAGTCTGAGCAGGGAAGCAAAAGAACATTCAAAGTGAATGTAGAAACTTCTGAAGCGAAGTGTCTCAGTGCAGAAGTGTGATCGGTGGATCTGGAACTGACTGTTTAGCGCTGGTTCGCGAAATGTCGCAGAAGCAAGAGTCGCCACCTTCTTTTATTTTCTCCAACATGGAAAGGACAAAAGCACAGAAAAATTCCTTATTGAGATTAGTTCTCGGTTCGGGAGGTAGATTTATAGAAAGGGAAGGTGTTAGCACCCTTTCTATCCATGGTTGTCCATGGGCTCTTAGATACTTGCTCATTTGTGTTTTCAAAAGTGTTTGTTTGCTTTTCAAGGTGAGTGGGTTTGAAAAGTTCCGTTTAAAATTTCAGTTCGACTCTTGTATCAGTCCTCAAGAGTGTTTGAAAAGTTGTTTTTGAAAGCTTTTTGCAAAGTGTCGGTGTGAAAAGAAGTTTTTGATTTGTTTTGAATTAGAGAAAGTATTTACGAGTCATCTACCTACCCTAAGGAATTAGTCTGTGTAAATGTCCTTAAGGTAGTGCCATCCCACCATTGAGAGGTAGGTAGCACCACCGTTGGAGGTGTTCAGGTCAATTCGAGGATTAGGGACAGTGTGGTCACCAGAGCAATAGGAAGACACCTTAGAAGCTACCCCCATTCCATGTTCATGGACATGAGGACTTACTAAAACGTCCTCTACTCGACGACCACGTTTCGAGGGGCAAGGCAACAGTGAGGCGTACCCTAGGAGTGGTGTGTGAATTGTGTGTCATTTTTAGATATATTTGTCTTGATCATGCATTGAGTGTTCTACGCTTTGATTTTATTTTTGGCCATTCATTCTTTCATGCAAATTATTAGCAGTTAAGAGGTGCAGAAATTTAAAGTGCGGAAAAATAAAAGTCCTACGCTATTACAAGGCGCGGGTCTACATCGCCAAATTAAACCAAGACCCGATTTGAATAAATAAAATGCGGAAAATAAATGTCCTAATTATCTATTACAAGGCTTTGGGGCAAGTACATAAATTTCACAAAGAAAAATAAAATAAACGCGCGAAGAGAAATTATATTCAAAGGTGCGAGGGCGTTGGACCCTTTAAGGGAATTAAATATGAATTGAAAATTGATTTAATTATTAAATGAGAAAAAGAACTTATTTTTTATGTTTTTGGTATTTATGGAAAAAAGATTAATTGAAAATTGAAAATTAAATAAAACCCTAATTCTAAGTTTGTTTTTAATTATTAAAAATTGTTTAAGTTTTAACCTAATTTGACCCTAATTAATTAAACGACATATTTATTTACAAAAATAATTAATTATTAATAATAAGAATAAAAATTGTTTATTGAGAAAAAGAACAAAAAGTCTAAAACCTAATTTTTACTTATTTTAGTTATTTAGAAAAAAAAAACATTAAAGTTAAAAACCTAAAATTAAAACTAAATTGATTGTTAAATTTATTTACAAAAAATAAAATATTAGTGAATTAAATAATAAACACATTTTATTTTTGACTTTCTGATTTTTTTTGTATTATAAAATTTATTTTATGAATTAAATAAAACAATTAATTTAAAAGAGAATAAATAAAAGAAAAGAAAAGAGAGAAAGAAATGCAAACATGGGGGGTTTTCTGACCCAATTAGGAGGTTTATTTGCAGCGATCTGGCCCATTAGATTGAGGCCTTTTTAACTTTTCAATGATTGTGTATGGAGCAGTTGACTGGTGTGTACCCTGGAACTCTCATCATGGCCTTTGGATTCATCTCCTGGGACATTTGGCAGGCCAAGGCATTGGATGCATGGTAGACGTTCAGAAGGCAAATGTACCTGAATACATTATAAGAAAAAATATGGAGAATATGGGGGACCTGGGAATCGAACCCAAGTCCCAACGCTTGCATGACAACACACCAACCACCAAGCCAAACGCGTTCATCTGATATTTAATGGAATGGAATTATTATGAAAGAGAAATAAGAGTTAGTGGTGGAAAAAAGAAAACACGCGCGAAAGGTTTGAATGGCCCAGTCTTGTGCTTACACCTCAGCGTCTCTTTCCTTGGTCTTTCGTTTTGCCTGAAAATAAACAATGGATAACGGGGGTTTTAAACCCCCACTAAATTCAAACTGAAAAAATAGTGAATACGTCATATGCGAATATAAAAAGGGCACGATGGGGGGAATTGCTTCGTTTGGACATTCTGAATCCAATGGCATAGGTCTCGTGGCTTAATTTTACCAGATGAAATAACCCCCAATTCACAGCTTCTGCAACCCTAGAAAATTTTAATGGCATATTTCGCTACAGGCATGGTTAGAACAATTAAATGGTATCATGAGTTTCAGAAGGTCCATATTAATATAAATCAACGTTTAAAATGTATGAAATATGCATATAAATCAAAATACGATTATGAGAGTTTTCTTGAACAGGGCTATGGCGTTCTACCGTTTCTCTGCGTGTGGAAGCTTGGTTTCAATTGCAAACGCCTCCTAGATGTGTCAGGAGTGTATTGGAATTGTTCTTTGGCTTTGAAACGTGCTCTATGTGGGAAAACAGTTTTCAGAATTTTTGGAAAAATGCAAAGTTCTTTTTTGAGTTTGGGCGCAGCTTTCTTGTTCTCCTCATTAGGGTTGCATTGTGTATATGTATGTCAATGAATTAGGGTCAAAAGATCAAGCCCAAAGCCTTGTTTTAATGCCTTTCAAGTTTATGATTTTCCATGATTTTTTCAATCTTTTTACCATGAAGAACATTCCAATTATTGGAGATCCTTTCCTTTTTGGGTATGCACGAAATCTTGAGTGAATGATGAGTGGAAATACTGCATAAAAAGATTTGAAAACATTTGTTTAGTATTTTTCTCATATTTAATTTTAATTAAATGAATTAATAGATTTAAAAATTCAATTAATAAATTAAAAATAAGAAAATAACTCCCCTTTGGGTCAATGGGTCGTGCATGGCCTTTGGGTGATGATTCTTGGAAGAAATTGTGGCCCATTAGCAATTTTGAGGCATTTGAAGCAAAGTTAACTTTTCAAAATTCCCAAAAATTTCCCAACTTCCACAAGGCATATCTTGCTCAATTTTTAAGCTTTGATCATGTTCTTGGACATTTTGGAAAGGTCTTGAAGTCCTCTAACCAATGCCTTTGGTACCATGTCATTTTGATTTACCAATCACAAGTTATGGTCTTTGACTTAAAGTGCCTTTTTGTTGACTTTTGAAAATGACCTATAATGTTGAGATTGATAACTTTTGTGAGAGCATTTCTTGGACTTGAAGTGTGAAGAGGAGTTGTAGGAAATGTCATTCTCTTAAAAATGAGCTTTGGATGGAATTTTTCTGATAAACCATGTGGAAGTTATGCCTTGGTCAAGTTACAGTTGACTTTTTCAACTGTCCAAAAATAGAAACTTTTGCATCTTGATGCTTTTTGAGCCATGCTTTGAGAATCATGATCAAGAATTGATCAAATGATGTTTGTGGCTTCAAAATAAGATGTTGACCAAAAATTTTGACTTTTGACTGTCAAATGACCATTTTGCCCCTGCAGTTGACTGTTGAGCAATTAGGGTTTTTGACTGTGCAATTTTGTGTTGTAAGTCTTGAAACTTGACATGAGGATGCTTGACAATGTTTATAGGCATGTGGGACTTATTTGGACCCTTGGAAACTTCAACTTCTTTGCCAGAACCAAAACCCTAATTTTGACTGTTAGGAGGCCATGGGACTGTGCAACCCTTGAGAGATTTTGAAGCATGCTCTTAGCAAATCTTGAAGAATATGGGAGGGCAAATTTTGGAGTAAAACAAGAAGGCGCTGAAGCAGACAACAAGCTATGGCACAAGAGGTTGGGGCACTTGAACTATAGAAGTTTAGGGCATCTAAGTTCTAAGAAGCTCGTACATGGCATTTCGAAGATTGTGAAACCTCAGAAGTCATTTGAGATATGCATGAAAGGCAAGCAACCCAGATTGCCATTTGCATCAGAAGTAGCCCCCAGAGCAAAACATGCTCTGGGAGTAGTACACTCTGATGTATGTGGACCATTTCCAGTAGCTTCACTTGGAGGAAACAAATATTTCGTGTCTTTTGTGGATGAGTTCACAAGAATGACTTGGGTAACACTCATCAAGTTCAAGCATGAAGTGTTTACAGAGTTCCAGAAGTTCAAGGTGAAGGCTGAGAAGCAGAGTGGTCAGAAGCTGAAGATTCTGAGAACAGATGGTGGATGTGAGTATAACTCTACAGAGTTCCAGAAGTTTTGTGAGGAGAATAGAATAGAACATGAGGTCACTGCTCCATATACTCCTCAGCACAACGGTCTCGCTGAAAGAAGAAACAGAATTTTGCTTGATATGACCAGAAGTATGCTGAAAGAAAAGAAGTTACCTCACATGTTATGGGGAGAAGTTGTTGCCAAATCAGCATATGTTATGAATAGGTGTCCAACGAAGAAGATAAAGGAAACTGTTCCTTTAGAAAAATGGACTGGAGACAAGCAAAGTGTTAGCCATCTAAAGGTATTTGGTTCTGTGTGCTACAAACACATTCTAGAGGCTAGAAGACGAAAACTGGATGATAGAAGCAAAATAATGTTACTGGTGGGGTACCACAGTACAGGTGCCTACAAGCTTTATTGTCCAGAAACCAACAAAGTTGAAATCAGCAGAGACGTCGTTGTGAAAGAGTCAGAAACATGGGATTGGAACAAGCTTCAATCAGATTCTGGTGTAGTACCAACACCAGGGTTATTTTCGGAAGACGAGTCAGAGTCAGAAGAAGAAGACTCTGAAGATGAGTCTGAATCTCAGGGAGATTCTGATAGTGGATCTGATTCTGATCCAGATTCTGATGATGATCCAGATTCTGGTGGTGATTATACTTCTGGAAGGGAAAACTCTGAAGACATGGGGTCTGGAGAACAAGTTTCAAGAAGTAACTCTGAAGGTGGTAATTCTGAAGGAAGTAGTTCTAGACAAGGTTCAGAAGCTAGTATTGTTCCGAACTCTGGAGAAGCTTCAGAATAAGATCAGAGGCCACATAGAATCAGACGAATACCAAGTAAGTTTGCAGATTTTAGCATGTTACATGATACTGAAGTAGATTCTGAAGGAGAAATCGTTCAGTGTGTCATGCTAGTAGATTCTGAACTAGTGAGTATTGAATAAGCGCTCAAGAAGAAAGTGTGGCTGAATGCCATGAAAGAAGAACTTGAGGCTATTGAAAGAAACAAGACTTGGAAGCTGACAGAACTTCCAAAAGGCAAGAAAGCCATCAGCGTCAAATGGGTTTTCAAGCAGAAGCTAAAGCCGGATGAATCAATTGGAAAACATAAAGCGAGACTAGTGGCCAGAGGTTTTCTTCAGAAACCTGGACTAGATTACTTTGAGGTATTTGCGCCTGTAGCTAGACACGAAACAATCAGACTGGTGATTGCTTTAGCTGCAAACAAAAATTGGCCTTTGATACATCTGGATGTGAAGTCTGCATTTCTGAATGGTCCATTACAGGAAGAAGTTTATGTGTCACAACCTCCTGGATTTGTGAAAAAAAATCAGGGGATGGTATACAGGTTAAATAAAGCTCTGTATGGACTGAAGCAAGCGCCCAGAGCTTGGAATCTTAAGATTGATTCGTTTTTCAAGGAACAAGGGTTTCAGAAGTTTGAGATGGAGTATGGTGTTTATGTTCAGCACACTTCAGAAGGTAATATGATTCTGGTCTGCTTGTATGTTGATGACATATTACTCACAGGAAGTTCTGAACAAGAAACAGCTGAGTTCAAGAAAGTTCTGATGAAGGCGTTTGAGATGACAGATCTTGGAAAAATGAGTTTCTTTCTAGGGATGGAACTTATATACTCTGAGAAAGGAATCATTTTACATCAGAAGAAGTATGAACTAGAGCTTCTGAAGAGATTTGAGCTAGCAAATTGCAAGGTTGCTATCACACCTGCTGATATGAATCAGAAGTTGGACTCTGATTCTGATGGAGAGGATGTGGACGCTACAACCTTCAAACAGATGGTTGGTTCTCTGAGGTATTTATGTAATACCAGACCTGATATTTGTTATGCAGTTGGAATAGTCAGCAGATACATGAGCAAACCAAAGTGGTCTCATTACCAAGCTGCTGTCAGGATTCTGAGGTACATAAAAGGAACTCTGAAATATGGAGTACTATTTCCTTCTGGAGGAAAGATCAAATCAGAACTTATGAGTTATTCTGATTCTGATTGGTGTGGAGACAGAGTTGACAGAAGAAGCACTTCTGGGTACTTATTCAAGTTTCTGGGAGGTCCAATTTCTTGGAGTTCCAAGAAACAACCTGTTGTGGCTTTGTCAACATGTGAAGCTGAATACATTGCTGGTGCTGTAGCTGCCTGTCAAGCAGTTTGGCTTCTGAATCTGTTGCATGATCTGAAGGTTGAAGTTGAGGAACCTCTGAAGCTGATGATTGATAACAAGTCTGCAATTAATCTTGCAAAGAATCCAGTTTTACATGGCAGAAGCAAGCACATTGAGACGAAGTATCACTTTCTCAGAAGTCAAGTGTAGAAATGAGTGATAGAAGTTCTGCACTGTAGCACTCAGAAGCAGCTGGCAGATGTTCTGACGAAGGCAATAAAAACAGACCAATTTCTGCGCTTAAGAGATGAAATTGGTGTTGTTAACTTCTAATAAATTACTAAATTATGTGATGGTATTAGAGGGTAATTTAGTATTTTGTTATTTGTAGATAAGTTTTGATTAAGGGCCTATGTGGCATTCTTATTTGTGTATAAATAGGTGTAATAGGTTTACATTTATAACAATTAATTCTTCAATCATTTGTTGTCAGCTTTTAGGCATTTATTCCTTCCTTCTTCTTCCTCAAATTCATCACCTTGTACTAACAAGGATGTCCAGATTTACCCGAATTTTATATAGTTGGTAAAATTACACTCATATACCAATAGATTTTAAAGACTTTCCGTTAAAATGACAGTAACATTCTCCTTTAATTTTAAAAAATGCATTAATCCTATTTAAATTTACATATATCAATAGATATTTTTAGTGACATAAAAACTATATATATATATATATATATATATATATATATATATATATATATATATATATATATATATATATATATATTCAGAAAAATGTGAGATAATTTGTATAATTTCCCTTTGATATTTAATTATTAGTTTAAACCAATATGTTAACTAACCTGGGCGAATGTAATATCCTTGTTGTCTTAACATACGAAATTGGAACGCAACTCGCGACAGTTCTTGGATTCTATGAAGTCTAAGCATCGTATACTTCCTTTGAAGAGTTGCTTCAATTTGATCTTCAAAGTGATATTCAATGCCTAATCTTTGGCTAACAAATAAACGTTTGACTTCATCCAATGCTTTAGCATGTTTTATATCATGCGCTTCCTAAATGAATAATAATTGAAAGAGTAAGATAAATTAGCTACAAAGTATTATGAAGCTTAGAAATGAATAGAAAATTGAATTTTTCAAAAAAATGATCCATACCTTGGCTTTTACAGTTTTAGAAATATGAGTTTGGTTAAAGGAAAGAGTAAATTTGATTTGGACTAGTACTATAATGTCTTGGTCTGAGTACTAAATGTAGGTTTCATCCCATTTATAGAGCACTACTTGTTCATGAGAAGCATCTGAGAAACATGCAACAGAATATTTCACCAAACAATACCTTGTCGTGACATACGATTAAAATGTGGTGGGATTGATTTTACATTACATTAAACATCTAGAATACTTCTTACCCCAAACATGTTTTCCGAATGTTAATGTATGTCTGCAGTTGACTATGAAAAAACTCATTTAACAAATTTAAATTTCAAACTTATAATTTATAGTTCATTAACTCACGTCCAAAATGTATATTTTGTATAACAATTTTTCATGAGTTTATATTGCTTTTTTATTAGTTGACAGCATATTTTGATAAACTATTTTAAGTAGTTTTTAATTTATAACTTTTTTTAATTTTATTTTCATTATTTTTATTTGAAATAACCAGTATATATATATATATATATATATATATATATATATATATATATATATATATATATATATATATATATATATATATATATATATATATATATATATATATATATATATATATATATATATATATTTTAATCAAAGGAAGATTTGTATTAATTCAAAAATCATAAGAGAACAAAGCGGTCGCACGGATTCAATCCTCAAAAGGAGACAAAAAGAAGAAAAATATGAAATTAAAAAATCATCAACTTAGTTATATGTGTCTTAAGAGGGTATTTGTTTCATGGATTGAAATTATATTTCTTGAAATGGTATTCCTATGATTATTATTCTTGGGAATATTGTTTCTAACCTATGTGTTGGGTATGAATTTAAATTCCTACGGAAAAATTATAAAATTTGTTTATTTTAAATTATAAAAAAATAAAAAATAATAGTAAATATGAGTCATAGCGAGAAATTAGAGTTGTTTGAGTTTATTCTCATGGGAATGTTATATTCTCACCCTTTAGGAATAAGAATAGAGAATGCATGGATAAATAATACTCCTTGAAATAATTTTTTAAATCTTGAATCAAACATGGAAATATTGCATTCTTATAGTCACATTTTCAGGAATAATTTTTGAAACTTTGAAACAAACACCATAATTTTTCTATTATACCGCCACCTATAGACATTCCTATCTATTATGTTGTCCATAATTTTATTCTTATCTACAACATTACCATAACAAACATCATTGCGGTATCTCCAAATGCCATATATTATCTCTCTAGCAGCTAGCTTCAGGATAGAGACTCTCCACCCTTTACCTATGGTACTATTAGTCAACCATACTAGTTCCTCATCCCAAAGTCGTGGAGTATGATTAACATGTATCCACTCTAGAATTCTTACCTAGATACAACTTGTTTCAGGACAAACAAATAGCAAGTGATTAATAGATTCATCATCTTGTGCATAATACAACATTTTATTATCAGAAATTATACCTAGATGATAGAGACGTTGTCACGTAGCCACTCTACCATGGCATGCAGGCCACACAGTCATCAATGCCCTCAGTCCAGCAACATTAAGACGAAATAATTTTCTCCATATCACCGATGGGGTATCTTTACATATCATTTTGTATACATCCTTCATTTTGAATTTTCACTATTCAGCATCTGATCCCAAACTTGTCGGATATCATCTAGAATGGCCATTTGCTTGAGTATGATCTTCATAATCCAAGAGTTATGGATTTTGATACTAACATTCATATGATCCACATGTCTCGGATAATATGTATGGATTCATTTGACCCATAAGCTGCCAGACTTGTCATTGGGATTCCACAATAATTTGAATATAGTAATTTTGTTCCAAATTTTAAGATCAATTATATCTAACCCTTCATAGTCCCGAGGTCTACACATATTTTCTACTTATTTCTGAACCACCTATCCACATGAATGATCTACAGATAGCTTCAAATTTATGAATAACAAATTTGGAATAGGAAAACATTGCATCAAATAGTTTGCTACTGCAAAGGTAACACTGTTAATAGGTTGTATTCACCCTGCATAACTATAAAGTTTAGTACCTCTATACTTAATTCTGCTCACAATCTTATCAGTCAAAGGCATGTAATGGTGTATGGATTATTTCTTACAAGTCAAAGGAACCCCCATATACCTGAAAGGAGAGGTCCCTCTTCAAAGGTAGTAAGATTCATAATATCTTGTCTAGTGCTCGTATTTACTCCACTAAAATTAATTTTACACTTCGTCGGGTTAAGCTTAAGGCTCGTGGATGCAGTCGCAGAGAAAGTGTTGAAGACTTTCATCATAAGATCACCTTTTACATATATTAAGAAAAATAATTAGTTATGTATTTGAAATACAAATTATAAATTATTTTATAATATAATTTTTTTTAATAACATCGTCAGAAAAATAACTATAAAAATTCAAAATAGCTAAAATGAATAAATACTTCCTCCGCCCCAAAATAAATGTCGTATTTTGTAAATAAAAAATTGTTCCAAAATAAGTGTCGCTTTTAGTTTCCAATATAATTTTAGTTTTTATTTTCCAATTATATCCTTTAACTAATACTCCTAATTTACTATTTCTCTCACCTTGCATTAATGATAATTTTAATACACCAATAATTTGTTGAAAGTAATTTTTTTGTGTCGGAGCAATTTGCTCGACAGAGACAAGGGAACATCGAAAATATTTGATTTGATTTAGAAGTGTGGAAATAGTTTATTATACACAGATTTGTTTTAGATTTACATAGATTTGATTTAGATCTAAAATAGATAGATTTGATTTAGTTCCAAAATAGGTATTTTGGGCTTTTATAGTTTTGGGATTTTGGCTTAGAGAGCAAGTTAACCTAAAGCTATAAATAGAGGGAGTAACCCCTATCTTTTGTAATAAAGTCAATCAAGTTGTATTCATAGAATTTGCAGTTGCAAGTGAATAATAAATTTTTCTATAATTTGTGGGCAGAGAGAAACTATGTAGAAAATTAATTGTCTTCTTTCTTCTTTTCTTATTTTTCATTGTCATTGTGTGGTGATATCAATCTTGCTCATCAAGATTGGTAGAAATTCATCATAGATTTTGGTGGATTTCTAAAAATGGTATCATGAGCCTGGTTTCGAGTAAAGGGACCAACTTACTTGTATCGAAACACTTCCCGCAGGTGGTGTATCTTCCTACAAGTAATGTATGTGGAAGGGGGAGCTTTCACACGAGGGGGATCATTGTAGACTCACACTTGAGGGAGAGTGTTGAGAATCAAGTGTGAGGAAGAAGTCCTATATTGATTAGAAAAGGGATTAATTGACATTTTATAAGTGAGAAAACCCATACACCTATCACCTTAAGGTTTTGGGTGAAGATGTGGTGTGTGTCTCACAATAAGGTGTATCCCAAGTAAAGAATGTCACCTCCTCGGAATTTCCTCTAACAGTGGTCTCAAGAGCTCCGGTTGAATGATTCAAGGGAAGCACGATCGAGGAAGAAGAAGAAGAAGAAGAAGAAGAAGAAGAAGAATATCACGATGACTATGAATTACGCTAACGGAAATTTTCCAGCAAGTCTCCCAATTCTGAAAGGTGATAACTATGAGAATTGGTATAAACAGATGAAGGTTATATTTTGTTTTCAAGGTCTTTGAGGTCTTGTGAAACATGGATTAGAACCGCTTGATGAAGACGCTTCAGAAGAAGAAGAAGTAGAATACAAAGAATCGAAGAAGAAGAATTATAAAGCTCTCTTTATAATTCACCAATGTGTCAGTCCAGAAAATTTCGAAAAGGTTAGTGATGTTGAATCTGCAAAAGAAGCCTGGGAAATTCTGAAGAAATTGTTCGAAGGCGCTGAGAAGGTGAAATAAGTGAGGTTACAAACTCACAAAAGAACGTATGAATTTCTTCATGTGGAATATTGTGAAAGCATATCTGATTTCTTTACTAGGGTTACAAAACTAGTGAATCAAATCATGAATTATGGAGAAATGTTAACAACAAGAGTTGTTGTTTCAAAGATCTTAAGATCTTTGACTCCGAAGTTCGACCATGTGGTAGTTGCTATAGAAGAGTTGAAAGGCATGTCATCTTTATCGAAGGAAGAGATTCAAGGGACGCTTGAATATCATGAACAAAGAATTGTTGAAAGAGTTATAGGAAAAATCTTGAATGCTCCCATGTCTCCAAATAGAACCTTCAATATTAAACTTAATGTGATGGAGCACAAGTTCCTTTCGACTGCAGCTAGCAGAGATGAATGGATATGGCACTATAGACTAGGCCATCTCAACTTCAAAGACATCAGAGATTTGAAGAGAAGAAATATGGTTTCTGGATTTCCAAAAATTGACATTCCAAATGAGGTATGTAAGGAATGTGTGCAGGCAAAGCAGCATAAGAATAGCTTCAGCAAGAATGCAGGAAGCAAGTCGAAGGCTGTCCTCGAAGTCATAAACTCTGATGTATGTGGATCAATTCAGGTGGATTCATTTGGAGGTAAGAAATACTTTGTTACATTTATAGATTATTTCAGTCGAAAACTATAGACTTACCTGATTAAGAAGAAAAGTAAAGTGATTGAGGTATTTTCCAAGTTTAAGTCTATGGTCGAAAGACGAAATGGTCGAAAGCTCAAAGTTTTAAGAACTGGTGGTGGTGGGAAGCATGTGTCGAAAGACTTCGGCAAGTTATGTGAAAAAGAAGGGATTATGCATGAGGTGGTGCCACCCTACACTCCATAACATAGTGGAAATGCGGAAAGGAAGAACCGAACCATCATGAATATGGTTAGAAGTAGGTTGAAAGGTAGCACTTACCTAAAGAGTTTTGGGGTGAAGCTGTATCGACTGCAACATATATTTTGAACAGATGTCCTACGAAGAAGCTAGAAGGAATTAATCCAAAAAGATGTTGGTCTGGTGTGAAGCCTAGCTTGAGTCATCTTAAGGTATTTGGATCTATAACACATAAACATGTGCCAGATAAGTTGAGAAGAAAACTTGATGACAAGTCGAGTCAGATGATCCTAGTAGGATATCATTTGACAGGAGGTTACAAGTTGTTCAACCTAGTGAATAAGCAGATTGTGATCAACAGAGACGTGATCATAGATGAGCTTAAGGAATGGGATTGGACAGGAAATGTCATGAAAGATTC